ACCACCAAGGTGATTCACTTCGACGTGTAATATAGCTATGATTTCACGCTTGAGAAATACGAAAAACGTATATGTTTGAGATTAAGGTACAACCTACAAAATATTCAACACAAAAAAATCTGCGTATCGGCTTTTCACGTCCACTTTGAAATGGCGCCCTGCGGTTTTTAGATGAACTGCAGCCACCTATCCCGAAAGCCAGATCAGTAACATGTTGTTATACACCACCTGGAGCCAAGCGTCACAATATAAGTCATATAGTCTTAAGCCGACATAGTTCTGTATACGTACCACACATCACATTTTATACCTGGCTAACGCTGACATGAGACTTTCTACCCAGCCTTCAAGAATTTTCCCCGCACTACTTTTATATAACTACGTCATGGAGCCCCAAGGGTCGCCCATTGATACTGCGTTCTGCGACCTTGAGGCCTGCTCACGCTCATCACATATTAGCTCTCAGCGCGCTGCTTCAGGACATCGAGTTTCTGGCAACGATAGTTTGAATTGGCCAACGAAATAGTTATGATCTGTGAGGCTCATCATTGTAATCTGTGTGGGCTATCTGTCGAATATAACATTTTGACTCTGTACAATACTCTCAAAACTGAAGATTGGTGTTGTTGATTTGTCAACTCAAATTTGACCCCCGAACACTCCCGACGTCTGCCGACCTACTCCCGAACACCAGTCGAGCACAAGTCAATCATGGCCGAACTTTCCGACCACCCCGAATGTCTTACGCATTTTGAAACATTCTGCTGACGCTGCCGAATAGTAGCCAACCTACCCAAACAACAGCCGACCACAACACAACCGATCTTGCTCCTAACTTACTACTAACCATGGTTGGGGGTAGGGTAGTGGATGTGTGGCACCGTTCGGCAGAGCATATTCGTGAATGTGTGACAGGGGCGTATTGTCAGCACTATAATCAAATAACAGACTTCATCAGGCCGTCAATTATCATTTGTACCGCCTTCAAATTACAAAGTAACAAGCTTAAGTCGCCGCCATGGTGACGCTGTATAGGATTTCAAAACAAACGGGTTGCTTTTCAGCAACTGACGTACGTTCACTTTTGTAATTATGCAGGACTTAATAGGTGTAAATTAAGTTACATTTCTCGGGACCAGGTGCAAAAATGTTGCCTTCATATGAATTTGGCAGAGCAAATGATGTGACTATATGTAAAAACGTGATAATTTTAGAAAATATGAATCGTAAAATGGGATCAGACACCCAGGACGCTGAAGGCCGAGATTTGACATTTAAATTGTGTGTGTGCATGTATGTGTGTGTGTGTCCAATGCGAATAGAATAGGGGCCCTGTCACCCAAGTCTTGCGATCCTCGTACGACAAACCAAGGCCAAGCAAAGGCCATCTTGGGATGGTCGTATCCTGCAAAATTCAGTTGTCTTGTTGCGGATAAAAGTTGTCTTTGATCATTGTCAGTGGTTGATTCTACAACCCAGTACTTGCTGGAAAATTCTACGGCATCCATATCGTACACCGACCTACGTCGAATTAGCCCGAACTGTAAGGTACTGATTTGTTTCAAAATACTTCTTACAAATGAAAATCTAGAATACGTAGTTTCAAATTTTGAGCACGGCAATGGCCATGCTAGTGCTGAAAAGGTCAGTACTTGCAGTAACTTATGTGCTCTCATTTCTTTCACAGGAAAATTTTAAATACCTTTTGTCTTGTTAGGACTAACATACAACTTGTCTTCCCTCCCACGATGTAAGCCTTTTTAGGACTCCAGAAATCTCAAATAACCCTAATATCACATAACATTTAACAATCTGGTCAAAGAACGCTTGGAGGGCATATAGCAAAACAACTAAACAGCCGAACTTTACCAAAATCACCAATAACAAAAAAATAGTCCGTAGTTTTATACTTCTTAAACATTTATTTCACACAGTGCCAAACCGACTTCAATTTTCAGTTACTTCACTTTTGCCGTCAGCGGTGGCATATCGACGACATGTCTCAGGAAAAGACCTGCAGTATCTGTACACTAACAGTGTGCAGTCATTTATAGGATCGTGAATACACTCACACAAACACGGTGACCAGTGCTCACATCAAATTGAAACAAAACTGTACTTTTTTTTCAAATCCATCAGAAATGTGGCTATCATAGATCGCTGGGCCACAATATCACATTGCAAATTTTGAGGCACAAGACCGAAGATTAGCAGGTACAAAACATTCAACTTTGCGTAAAATTGAAGGAAACACTAGGTAGAATTAGGCATGCGTTTCTTTTTCGTCAGTGCTCATGCTACTCTAATGTCATGTGTTATCATCAGGTCGCATACAGGTCAATGCCAGGTTGTTCGTTGCCGTGGTCAACCTGTTAACCTGCCCCAGCGGCTTCCCCAACGGCCTCCAGACCTCACCTCCTCCTCTTCGGGGCGACCGTGTCCTCCATCCCTCTCTTCGGGGCGACGGTTTCCTCCCTCCTCCTCCTCCTCTTCTTCCTCCTCCTCTTCTTCCTCCTCCTCTTCTTCTTCCTCCTCTCCTTCCTCCTCCTCTTCTTCCTCCTCCTCCTCTTCCTCCTCTTCTTCCTCCTCCTCTTCTTCCTCCTCCTCTTCTTCCTCCTCTTCCTCCTCCTCTTCTTCCTCCTCTTCCTCCTCCTCTTCCTCCTCCTCTTCTTCCTCCTCTTCTTCCTCCTCTTCCTCCTCCTCTTCCTCCTCCTCTTCCTCCTCTCTTCCTCCTCCTCCTCTTCTTCCTCCATTTCATCATCATCATCATCGTCGTCCTCTTCTTCATCACCACGACTGGAAATAAAAAAATAGGTAATAACATTTTACATAGTCTTGTTCTTTTTGTTGTCTCGTGTGTAGCTTTTAACTAAATTGAGTCAATGAAGGTTATACATCCAGGCAATGGGATACCAAAAAAATGTTACTCAAGCAACTGGATAGATTTTGAAAACTTTTAGACGTTTCAAGTAGCATCTACTACTTTTTGTCATGAGTGACTAACGGAATCTGTAGTTGAGCAGGTATCTATCCACTTGGATTTCATATGTGTAAATTGCAATTTTTGCATTGCAAAGAAGAAAAAAATTGAGACAGTCCAAAAGGAGGAAAAAGCAAGATAACTAAAGACACGTTAATGCTAATTAGCCAAATCGTTTTAGCAGAATTGTTTCTGGGTCATATTTACATCTTGTGTGATACAATAACAGACGTTGGTGAAGGTTAGACATCGAGGTAATAAGATACGCCAAAAACAGTTACTCAAGGACCTGGATATATGAATTTGGAAACGGTCGTTTCAGGTAGCACCCACTACCTTTCGTCAGTGACACTGGAGAGTTGTCAGAAAAGCAGGTTTGAATGTACGAACTATTGATTGATATGCAAATAAGGGGGGGGGGGCAATTTTTTTGAAAGTCCAAAAAGAAACAAGTGTTAGACCACTACCTTAAAAAGTTTACATAAAGGACGGTCTCCGGTGCTCTTACGCCGAGCGTATGTAGGGTGGTGCCCATCTCCATTTCGTAGCCCTTGGGCGACACACAGTTGTATGTCTCATATGTGCTGAGTGCTAAGCAGAGAAAGAAGTGTGTACCATTTTTAAAGTCTTTGGTATGACCCGGTCGGGGGGTTGAAATCAATTGAGCTATTGCACCGGTATTTTAAATAAAGGACCGGCTTCTTACCCGCGTTGACTGTCCTGACGGTGTTCGTCACGACTCTGGCTATCCTGGCGGTGTTCCTCATGACTCTGGCTGTCCTGCTGGTGTTCTTCACGACTCTGGCTGTCCTGGCGATGTTGTTCACGACGCAGGACCTGCACTTCGCTGCTCATGTTGGCGAGACTCTCGCGCATCTCCCGCAGCTCCTCTGTATCCGGCATGTCTTTCGAGAAAAAGAGATGAAAATAAAAGAACTGTCCAAGACTTCTCTCCCAACATAGAAGTCAGTCACACACAGAGAAGAGAATTCGTCATAAGCCAGTACTTATCAAGAATATTCATTATTTAGATCAAAGGCTGTCAGTTAGGCATCAGTTAGGCTGTCTAGTAAATGAACCAAATTTCTTATAGTTCATAATATTTTTGTACAGTTTTTTTTTATTAGTATTTCGAAATACAAAAACATGTACAGACAAGACATGAACAAAGCAAAAAGTAATAACATAATGGTAACAGAGAAATAATCCACGGATCCAAAAATACAATCGAGATAAAACAAGGATAACAGCAGGGAAAAAAACTCTAAATAATAGTACTTGATCTAGTATAATACAGATGACAGAGCAATATGAATATACAGTAAGATGAAACTTGAAATACAGTTTTAAGAGTCATGTTAGTGAAATGAAATGCACAGTCTTCAGGCACAAAAGAGGTTGTTTGCTATTTGTACTTATGTCTGTCAGTTTTGAACAAGAAGTAAACTGTACCCTGCGTACTGTAGGGTACTGTGTCAGACTCTACTGTACGCTGAGAAGGACCAATACTCTCTTCAATACGACTGGTGGGATTCAATGTAGTGACTGTATGGACGAAAATGACCTACCAAGATTTTCAAGCTCCTTCAGCTTCCTCCCCATCTGCCCTACGATTCGGCTCTGCCGGTTCACGCTGCTCTCCACCCTGCGAAGACGATCTGTGTAAAAGAATCTCCAATGAAAAAAACCTTCTTAGACTACTTAAAAGCTTTGGACCATGTTTAGGAGTAGGTCGGGAGCAAGGTCGGCTGGTGTTTGGCGAGGTCGGCTAGGTATTCAGCTAGCTGCGCCAGCCGAATGTTTCAAAATGTTTTTAAAAAGCATTCGTGGGTGCTCGGAAGGTTTGGCCATGGTCGGCTGGTGTTAGGGCGCAAGATCGGGGAAAGGTCCTGAATGTCAAGGGCTAAAGGGATGCAGTTTACCGTTCGATACCACAAACTGCACTCTCCTCTGACGTGTTACAGTCATTTCCGAGAACATGGGGCTACATGGCCTTGAGGCTACATGAAAGCTATGGTGTGTCATTTCAGCATTCTGACAAGAAACTGTTGCCGTACATGCATAAAATTAAAATCAATCAACCCAATGGCATCTCACTGTATCAAAAAATGATATGAGAAACTTTACCCATGATCTCTTCAAGCTCTTGGTCTTCAGTCTCTGCTTCAGTTGCCTCTTGTCGCTCCCTGAGCCTGTCCCTGATTTGGTCCAACGAAATGCCCTGGGCCTCCATCGCGACCATGAGGACCGTGACCACCACTAAGGTGAAAACCAACGACTTGCTGGCTGTCATTTTTAACGGATCCTGCGTTTCGATGTATTAAAGTTACTCGAACTTCTCACGTTTAGTGCTCCTGCACGTCTATTCCCTCTCACGTTCTGGTGCTACAAGCGTGGCGTTGCCTCTCTCAGACTGGTACACTGAGTGCGGGATTTGGGACTATTTATAGTTTTTTTCCGTTCTTTGTTTTTGAACTTTGAAAATCAGTTTACCCACATGGACAACGCGTCGATGACAAAGTTAAGTCTTGACGTACTTTGACATTTTCTGATGAATAGGGTACTAGACAAAAGATGCATGCTTCTAAGAGTCTTAGATGATTGGCAAGGTCATTCAACCTAAATGTTAAGGACGAAGTGTAAGGTGAAGGACCGAGTGTCTTCAGCTTCTGAAGTTCGTTCACACTCTCACTTACTCACTCAGTCTCGAACACACTCACTCACACACACACACACACACACACACACACACACACACACACACACTCACTCAGTTTCAACTCCGTTGGTCATAATCATCATCTGGCGGCTGTTGTGCAACGACATAAGGCTGTGTCCGAGTTTTTTGATCGGCCACCATGGTAGAGGTGGCCTGTACTTTTTCAAGATGTCAACCCTTAGACATGACTGTAAGGTTTGAATAACTCACACAGGAATGGACCCTGCTCTTTTCGACAAGTGTCCAAAGCTAGCTAGGTACTCATTTTCACTTGAATCAAGTTAGGAAATAGGGCACAACACTAGGGCCAGCTCAGAACCATTGGATTCTGAGTAAACCGCAAATTCACCTTACATTGCTCCTGTTGCCCAGGTTTGTAATTCATTCCTTACTTTGACGAAACATGCCTTTCTACGAAAACTGCCTTCTTGTACGCGAGTAACCTTTTTACGTAGCCCTGAATAGAAGCTGGCTAGGGGGGCCATCTTATTAGCAGAGACATGATGCGGAACATTGCTTCCTAAAGCATGTTGACGTCACCAACACGACTTATATAGGCATTGACGTCACCACCAATATT